CTGCTTCAAGTTTTACTGGAAAACTAGTGTCTTCACTCTGCACAGCCCTTGGTGTTAGTCAGAAAGTGATTAGTGTTGCCAATCACGGTAGCCTTCTGGTCGAACGCCACATCAGATCAATTTCAGACTTCTTAAAGGTCAACTTAAATCAATATGGAACCGACTGGGTCAGATATGTGTCTACATGCTGCTATGTATACAACTCCTTTTCTTCATCACGATTAGGTAGTTTTTGTCCTTATGAATTAGTGTTTGGTCGTAAACCGAAAAATCTTACCCATCTCAATTGGCAATTTGATGGCATTTGTCGCTCCTATTCGGATTATATTTCCCAATTGAAGGACAGATTTGATCATATGTCAAAGACCATAATTGATCTACAGAAACATCAGCAGGAATCACAAAACATTAGTGTTGCTCATAATCTGAGTAAGAATCCTGTTTATGGATTGGGCCTGCTGATGTATGTTCTCAAGCCTTCATCTTCCAGCTTAACTTCAAATTCACGAAAAATCAAGGCTGATTGGTGTAGTACTTTGGTTGTTCATCAGGTACTCGATCGCACCCATTACATTCTTGTCACATTGGATGGCAGAGTGCTTTCGGACGTCTATTCTATTAACAGACTAAAGCCATGCTTTGTAAGGTCACCTAATTTCCAAACTAAAATTACTCATATTGATCAACTGCAAAAGGAGCTGGGTAATGTTCCAGCCAATAATGCTCATACCCTTACTGAAATTAATCCTTTATGTTTAATTACTGATGAGAATGATATTGTACTACATTCATTCAATGAGAATGTACTCCCTTATAATAGGATCACCAAACCAGTTAATTTACATAAGTATGTACATAATAGTGATGATAGTCATCATCTTGCTAGTGTTTGGATGTTATCCAATTATCAGTTAACCCAACAATGTCATGTTTTACAAAATGTTTCTAATGTTTCTACCATGGAGCTAAAGAAAGCACGGTTCAAGTGTGGTTCCCTACAAGTTTTAGTTACCAAACCTCATACAGAGGCAAGCCATAGGTCTTCTTGGATCCCTGTAAATTCTTGCCCTACATTATTTGCGATTGTCAATAACCTTATTCATGACAATAAGCTCCAAGTTACAGGTAGCATTAGTAAATAATGATTGATTAACATGTAATATTGTTATTGTAGTGTTCATTCAGAAACCCAGCTGTATATCAACCCTAACACTGTAGTTATCTACAACATGTGTTTTAGTACACTCATGGGGTTCAGAGCATTTTGAATGTTCACTTCAATAGCTTCCATATCGTTGTAGACTTTCCTCTACTTATATGTAAATGTATTGTTTGAGTTATAATATGTACCATAGTTTTAGTTTTGCTTTTCTTAAAATCATAGTTTACATTTTGTCAAACCAGTTGTACTTTGATTTCAAAAACTGTGTTTTTGATTTCAGTCGGGGGAATGTTGTATAGCCATGTATCAGTTCTAAGCATGTATTATGGTTGTCTGTATCCTACTGCTAAGGATACATGAATTATCTCCCTTACATATTGCCTGTTGTAAGACTTGATAATTTGTATGATTAGGAGTGAGCTTCCCTGAAAGGAAGTGAATAAAATGTGCCTATGATAAAGTCTTTGTTTCTGTGACCAATCTCCTCTGATGAAAATATAATAATTAGTGTGGACTTGACAGCACACAACAGTCATATTTGAGTTAATATCCGATTAAATTTATACACAGTGTTTAAGGTCATGAGACGAAGAAGCATATTGATTTTCAGCGATTTCCGATAATTACTGACAGAGTTATGGCCCTTGATCACTTTTTAAAAAAATCTTGTGGACGCTCTAGAGGCTAAAGTTAATGTCCGATTAAATTTATACACAGTGTTTAAGGTCATGAGACGAAGAAGCATATTGATTTTCAGCGATTTCCGATAATTACTGACAGAGTTATGGCCCTTGATCACTTTAAAAAATCTTGTGGACGCTCTAGAGGCTAAAGTTAATATCTGATTGACTTTAAATTGATACACAGTGTTTAAGGTCTTGAGACGAAGAAATATATTGATTTTCAAATAATCTTTATGACTTGAACAGCTAATTCCATGATGTTAAAAGTTTTGTATACTAAATGTTAGCATGGGGCAGAACTTTATAAAAACCAAACAAATTCTAATGGTTTTCTGATAATTACCTCATGAGTTGTTACTCTTAATCAGATTTTAATGTATTATAAATGTTTCATTACCGAAAAAAGTAAAAATATGTGACAACTCTTGTTGACTGCCCGGACGATATAGCTGCTGTGGGCGTATGTTTCGTTGCTTTAAACTCACATTTCTAATAGCAGTAGAACTCTCTAACTTTGTAATCTAAGACAACTTTTGGTGTAGATTATGAATTTAATATCACACTCATTGTCCAATGCATACTGTTCGCGCCACCAGGTGGCAAAATATGGAACAAATGGACTATTCACTTTTATTTTCAGGATTTCCACAGCCTCTGACAAAGTCACTATTGTAGACACAAACTCCAAAATTGGCATAGTTAATGTCAGTTTTTCTTATATCAATTGTGTGTGATACTAAATTCATAATCTACACCAAAAGTTGTATTAGATTACAGAGTTAGAGAGTTCTACTCCTATTAGAAATATGAGTTTAAAGCACCCGAAAACCTGAAAAAATGACTGAATTTATGATCCGTTTCAGTACCCTAATTACAAATGGCCATATCTCAGCCTAGAGAGGTATAATTTTGGATTTGTTAGCTTAAGTCCATGTGCTATAACATATATTTTTTATAATTTTCTTAGAGGGGGTCATGTTCCCAACTTTCCGAAATTTGGTCCACTTGACATGGAATGACCCTTATATGTCATAAGATCGTCCATTATTTGGGTTATCCAACGACACTTTAGTTGTTTAGATTAGTTGAAATCTGGCGTAGTGATCACTTTTTTTCGCAAGACCACCATTTTTTTTTTTACTCTTTACGTGGTTTATTTTTCAAAATATCGGATATTTTTTCGACTAAATCCAGTTTTTTATCATTATAGGGATAATTTAAACAAGTTGTTTGGATACTTAACTTCCTGTACCAGAAGTTTCAGAAACATCCATGAAGCAATTTAAAAAAAAATAAGAAACCTTTTTGAACCACTTATATTATTTCAAAGCTGTTATATTTGGATGCACACCCTAGACCACCAATAGTAAGAAAAATTGTACTTGTAGTACAAAAAAAAAAGATTATTAAAATCTGTCAAAAAGTCCCTATCTTATATAGCAAAATCATTTCAGAAAGCAAAATTTCCTGGTTTTTTGGGGGTTTTTTTGTTTTAAACAAATTGCACTTAACCTATGTTTACTGACTGGTTGTTGTAAAACTTTCAGAATAAGCACCAAATGATTCAGTTAATCACTTACCATCAACATTTTACACAATTTTTAAAGTTTCACAATTTATTAAAGAAGTGGTTGCCATGCAAGATACGCCCACATTTTCAAGAGATGGATAGAGAACAAGCTCAAAACAAGGGGCATAATTCAGGAAGTTACGGTCCAATATGCATCAAATAACTCAATTTATCGTTTGTCATTGACATTTTACCTGATTTCAAAGTCTTACACTTTTAAAAAAAAAAAAAACTTCAATTTTATGACGTCACTATAAAAATATCTAGGTCAATTATCAAAATTCTGAACGATCGATCGATTGCGAATTTTGAATGCTTTCCAAAAATATGACGATATTGAAAATTGGATAAGAATTATAGGACGAGTAGGATTTTGACTTACATTTTCAAAATGGTGGCACATTCCAGTGAATTTTAACTTTATGAGATTACTCTAAAAGTTGATAGGTGAACCCTACAGACAAATATTTTTAAATAAGGCAAAATTAGAGAAGTTGAAAATCTGACTTCATCTTAATCCACCCATTTGTAATGTATTCTGAAAGTTTCAAGTCGAAATCTTCAAAAATAAGAAAAGTTACGCTCAGAATTTTCAATCTTTTCACATTTGAGCTTAAAATTAGGCCATACGCATGCGTCTAAGAGGTCACAATATCTCAAAATAAAAGTTGAGAAATACAAATTGGTGAAAAACACATTCAAATTGGTTGAAAAACAAAAATGTTTTCTTTGTCTCATATTTGTGACTGGGCAGTCAAAATGAGTCGAAATGCGCATTATCTAATTTTGAATATTTGCGCATATCGAACCATAACTTCCTGGATTATGGCCCCTGATTGTACTAAAAATCGGGTCACAATTTTTATCCGATTTTGATGAAACTTAAAATATATGTTGATATCCCAAAGATCTTGGTTCATTTTGACATTGTTGCATCTCGGATCGTAACATCCTGGATTATAGCCCCTGATTCTTCGAAAAATTGCTTTTTTACCTTGTTCCCTGTCCATCTCTTGCAAAATGTGGCAACTGCTTTTTATTTGATTTAAAAACCGTTCATATATAGAACTGTTAGAATCCTATTGACGTTTGGGTTCGAATTTATTGCAAATTGGACCCAATAGTGTAAACACTTGTTATACCAAGGTTGTGGACCCTCTAGAGGTCATAATTTTTATCCCATCAAAATGCCCCCCACCCCATTTTTACTCAGATACTGTAAAAGCATGTAATACCAAGTTTGTAAACGCTCTAGAGGCACCAATTTTTGTCTGATTTAGATGAAACTGTTTGAGCCTATTTCGGACATAAATCTTGATGTCACTGTGTCACCTGTTGGTTGGCCATATCGTCAATGCGTATGTTATCAAAGATGAAATCTATCGGCACAGCCCTAGCCTCATAAAGCATTCCTGAACACTTTAGTGAACAGGTGCTCTATAGAAAAGCTGTAAATAATAATAATAATAAATATCATACAAGCTTATATACAAAAGTTTATATGAACAGAATGTCAATAAAAAATTAAGATACTACTACCAGTAGGAGTAAATTCTCTCTTGTAAATGTGTGATTTTATTTACAGTAAATGGGAACTTATACTTTGTGATTATTGTGGATCACAAGGTAGCCATGTTGGTTGTGACGGACTGTATCCTATAAATAGAAAAGACCAAATTTGTCAAGATTGTTGGGACATAAATCTAAAAGGTATGAATTATGGGAAGATCAATTTATAAATACATGGATATTGGGCTAATGAAGACGGGCATACGCCATACAGGGTGCTATGAGGGAAATTTTGCCCGGGCAGCGGTGCTATGGCCTACTCTTATATCGAATTCCAACTGCCAAGGGATCTTTTACGTGCACGCCAATGTGTACAAGGGACCTCGGTTTTTCGTCCCATCCGAACGACTAGACAGCTGTCCTTGTCAGGCCCTCCATCCTGCATCACTGACAAGGGGAAACCACGCCGGAAAATCTGAATGAACTTTCTCGGCCAATGCAGGGATCAAACACCCGATCTCCAGGCTAGCGAGCCAGAATCTTACCCACGTGATCCCCCTGTGTAAAATAATAACAAATAGCTGCTGATTGGTTGTTATCTGAGCTTTATAAGATATAAATATAAAGAATGTGGGGACCCTTCGGTACTAAATCTTATGAAATCGTATTGCCATTCTTTGCGAAAGTTCCTAAGCGTGAATCTATTTCGATTTAGTGGCTAAGTGGGTAAGACGCTAGCTCGCTAACCTGGAGGTCGGGTGTTCGATCCCTGCATTGGCCGAGAAAGTTCATCCAGATTTTCCGGCGTGGTTCTCCCTTGTCAGTGATGCAGGACGGAGGGTCTGACAAGGAAAGCTGTCTAGTCGTTCGGATGGGACGAAAAAGCGAGGTCCCGTGTACACATTGGCGTGCACGTAAAAGATCCCTTGGCAGTTGGAATTCGGTATAAGAGTAGGCCGTAGTGCCGCTGTCCGGGCAAAATTTCCCTCATAGCACACTGTATGGCTGGCGTATGCCCGTCTTCATTAGCCCAGGTTAGGAGCAGAACAGTAGGACGTTAAACTCCATTTCATTTCATTTCATTTCATTATTTCGATTTAAAATGGTTCAAATATTATCCAACGTGATACATCATTTATGTCCCAGTCGGGATCAGTCGTGAAAAGCCCAATTATCTGTATTGTAATATTTCTATTTGCATATCAGCCTTCTGTTACACTTTTGTGTCTTTATGTCAAGTTCTTGACGACAACACTGGTTTAACTTCATATGTTTTATTCTTCTTTTAACATATCATGTACAAAACTTAAAGACTCTTTAATTAGCTTGTATTGAGGGAGCCATGGTCCTAGCTTGGCTTGACACCCTTGGGTGCCAACTCCCAACTAACTTACATGGCCGCTGTCTGGTCTTAACTCGAGACCTGCTGGTCCCAAGTTAACTTCTAGACGCCCTCGCCTAGTCTGCCTCCAACGCGTCAAAGGATCTCATTACACATCTGGCTAATGCATCATATCAGTTTGCTTATAAGACAAAAAATATCGAAGAGATAATGCAGTATGCTATTTATTGCATCATAACTCAGGCGAGGGGTAGTGAATATTGACTTCTAAGTGGCTGTTGGCCGTGTCAGACCAGTGCCAATGTCATAATCTGATAAGGTTAATCAATTTCATGTATGGACATTTTTCTACATAATCTCCAATTATGTAACTTCTAAATGATGTGATTGGCTTTTTTTCCGGAGAGTATATGGCATGGGCTATTTCCGAATAGGATAATAGATGCCATTTCTCTTGGGAGGGCTTGCTAAATTGAACAATAGTGGGATCATAATCTGTTATATAAACGATCAAATTTCATTTTGGGGTCATTCCATGTCAAGTGGAACAAATTTCAGAAAGTTGGGAACATGACCCCCTCCAAAAAAATTATAAAAAATATATGTTATAGTACATGGACTTAAGCTAACAAATCCAAAATTATACCTCTCTAGGCCGAAAATTTGTTGAGATATGGCCATTTGAAATTAGGGTACTCAAACGGATCATAAATTCGGTAATTTTTTTTTCAGGTTTTCGGGTACTTTAAACTCATATTTCTAATAGGAGTAGAACTCTCTAACTTTGTAATGTAAGACAACTTTTGGTGCAGATTATGAATTTAGCATCACACGCAATTTGCGATTCACACAGTTCGTGCCACCAGGTGGCAAAATGTGGAATAAATGAACCATTCACTTTTTTTTTTTTAGGAATTCCACAGTCTCTGGCAAAGTCACTATTGCATACACAACCTCCAAAATTTTCATAGTTAATGTCAGTTTGTCTTTTATCAATTTCCAAAAAATTCTGAGTTGATGGGATATATACTTTACCAAATAATCAATCTCGAAATTCAATGCACACAGAAAACGTACAAAATATACCCATTTTTACCTTCAATTTTGGCCATGTGGGACAGTGTTAAAATTATGAAAAAAGTTTGATACTGAAACTTGAATTACCCTACTATAACAGACATTAAAGTCCATCTTGTGTATTTGATGGCTTATATTTTTAATTGGCACTTGAAATCTGTGCAGTGATTAAGTTTTAATGGCTATCATGAAAATTGTTGACTTTTCATGTTGATTTTAAAATTACGTCTAAATGACCTACACCCCTCTAACGTGTCTATTTAGAGTAAATGTTTGCGTAGATTACGAATATGCAATCATTTCGGATGTACATTGTATTGTTCTAATTTTTATTTGGCCTCCTCAATGAGAAAAAATTGGTTATTCCACTTTACAAATTAGAATATTGGGCGTTGATAATCAGATTAAAATTACTTCTGGAAGACTTAGGCCCCTCATATTTGTCATTTTAGAGCAACTTATAATGTAGAACAAGAATATAGAATCATTTTGGCTACAGGGAGCATCGTTTCATTTTGCCTACAGGCCACAATTCTTAATGGATTGTCTTGAAAACTACTCATATATATTCCTATAAATTCCTTATACCCAAAGGATGACTGTTATTATTTTTGGTGCATGCCCGACCCCCAGGGACACAGCAACACCAGATTTTTGTGTTATCGTCCACAAGCTGCAATTCTGAACTTTTAGTGCATGCCTGAACCCAGGATGATCCATTCAGAATTGCAACCCCTAGGCGATAAACATAAAACAATGGGCGCTGCTGTGTCTCTTGGGGATGGGCATGCACCAAAAATAATAGCAGTCATCCTAAAGGTATAAGAAATAAGTACGACAAAATTTCAAAATGATCAAAACACACAGACACAAAATAATAGCAGTCATCCTAAAGGTATAAGAAATAAGTACGAAAAAATTTCAAAATGATCAAAACACACAGACACAAAAAGAAAACATAGGTGTGGCCCTGCCCCGTGGAGTTGGTCATGTACAAAAAAACAAAAGCGATCATTCTTAGGGTATAAGGAATGAGTATGCACAACTTCCAAGACAATCCCTTAAGGATTGTAGTTGATAAACAGACACATACAAAAATTGAGCGTGGCTCTCTGTCCCTGGGGGTCGGGCACACACCAAAAACAATAGGGAACATCATTATGGTATAAGAAAAAATTAGTATACACAAATTCAAGACGATGCATTAAGAATTGCGGCCTGTAGTTTTGATAGTGAAACTACAAAAGTACTGTACTTCAACTTTCTAAGCAGACAAAACACGTTTTCACCTGTTTTTAAAGCAAAACTAAATTGAAATGATATTCCCTGGATCCCAAAAGAGTCCTTATTCTTATTCTTATTCTATGTTAAGAGTTGATCTAAAATGACAAATATGAGGGGTCTAAGTCTTTCAGAAATCATTTTAATCTAATTATCAAAACCCATTATTCCAATTCGTCAAGCGTATTAACCATTTTGTTCTCATTTTGGATGCAAAATAAAATTAGAACAATACAATGTACACCCAAAATGATTACATATTTGTAATCTACGCCAAAGATCATTTTAAACAGGCACGTTTGAGGAGTGTAGGTCATTTAGAAGTTATTTTAAAATCAACATGAAAAGTCAACAATTTTGATAACCTAGCCATTAAAACTTCATCACTGCACAGATTTCAAGTGCCAATTAAAAATATAAGCTATCAAATACACAAGATGGACTTTAATGTCTGTTATAGTAGGGTAATTGAGGTTTCGTTATCAAACTTTTTCATAATTTTAACCTTTGTCGCACATGGCCAAAATTGAAGGTGAAAATGGGTATAATTTGTACGTTTTCAGAGTGCATTGAACTTCGAGACTGAATATTTGGGAAAGTATATATCTCATCGACTTAGAATCTTTTGTAAATTGATAAAAGACAAACTGACATTAACTATGCCAATTTTGAAGTTTGTGTATACAATAGTGATTTTGCCAGAGGCTGTGGAAATCCTGAAAATAAAAGTGAATAGTTCATTTGTTTCACATTTTGCCGCCTGGTGGCCGGAACAGTAGGCACTGGATAATGAGTGTGATGCTAAATTCATCATCTATATGCCAAATGTCACTATAAACAGACACGTTTGAGGAGTATAGGTCATTTAGAAGTTATTTTAAAATCAACCTGAAAAGTCAACAATTTTGATACGTCCATTAAAACTTCATCACCGCACAGATTTCAAGTGCCAATTAAAAATATAAGCCACCAAATACACAAGATGGTCTTTAATGTCTGTTATAGTAGGGTAATTGAAGTTTCATTATCAAACTTTTTCATAATTTTAACCTCTGTCCCACACCACCAAAATTGAAGGTGAAAATGGGTATATTTTGTACGTTTTCAGTGTGCATTGAGCTTCGAGACTGAATATTTGGGAAAGTATATATCTCATCGACTTATAATCTTTTGTGAATTGATAAAAGACAAACTGACATTAACTATGCCAATTTTGAAATTTGTGTATACAATAGTGATTTTGCCAGAGGCTGTGGAAATCCTGAAAATAAAAGTTAATAGTTCATTTGTTTCACATTTTGCCGCCTGGTGACCCGAAAAGTTGGCATTGGATAATGAGTGTGATGCTAAATTCATAATCTATACCAAAAGTTGTCTTAGATTACAAAGTTAGAGAGTTCTACTCCTATTTGAAATGTGATTTTAAAGCATCCTAAAACCTGAAAAAAATTACTGAATTTATGATCTGTTTCAATACCCTAATTCCAAATGGCCATATCTC